GAAAGCACCTTCATCACGCTTGCAGCATAGTAAAAACATAAAGACACGTGTAACTCAGAATTTTACAATCAAGCGTGGGGCCTTTAATAGAACAAAGCTGCTCGCCGGGGTCAAAGCGATCTTGTGTCAAAGTATGAAGTTCCTCGTGGCCATTCCCAGATTCACCCAATGTCGCCACCAACCAAAAAATATTTTTGCTCGTCGTCGAAAAAAAATTCAAGAGGTCGACCCGATCCCAATTTGGCTGGTGGCGACATTGGCCAAATCTGGGAATGGCCACGAGGAACTTCATACTTTGACACAAGATCGCTTTGACCCCGCCGAGCAACTTTGTCCTATTAAAGACCCCACGTTTGATTGTAAAATTCTGAGTTACAAGTCTCTTTATGTTTTTACTATGCTGCAAGCGTGATGAAGGTGCTTTCTCTTAGTGGATGGTGTCGAGAGCACTCCTATAAGCAAGGCGAAGAGCTGAGTGAAACGACACGTGATGTTACACACACGTGTCGTCGACAGGTTGCTGCATGAATGATAATGGTTGCCTTTGGAAGATGGCTAAACAGCATCCGATCGTGAGATGCTATCCATTGTTACAATGATAACGAGTTTATACACACACGGTAGGCATGGCCGAAACCAGCCAGGAACCAACATTTAACTTTATGAATCAATGTTATGACCCAGCCAACAAAATTGGCGGAGATTTTGTGAATCGTCTCTTTGCTTCATACGACGAGTCTCACGGATACTCGCTCCCTCGCGCTCTCTATCTCACACACGCACTCATATTCTATCATACTATAATACACTACGTATCAAATTTTCAGAAACAAGGTTGCATAGGGAAATTAAATGGTTTGGATAAGCTCAATAGGATCCTAGCTATTGTGCATTGATAAATAAACACCCGCTGTTGATGGCTACACAGTCAAAGAAGTAGCTGTCTTAGGTAATCAATCATATTGAATTGAGAATGAATAAGTGGATTACGAATTTTGTTGGCATAAAAGTGATAACCCAATGCCCCAAACTTTGTATAGAAGGGGTAATAATTTGTTTCTGCTGAGACTACAAAAGGAAAAATCATACCTGTCTTCTTACTTTGTTTTTCTTTTTTGCATTGTGAAGAATATGAGCGACAAACAACCTATAGCAATTGTTGGAATAACTGGTAATCAAGCAGGAGCAACAGCCAAGCATCTTTTGGAAAACGGAGCCCATGTCCGTGGTATTGCTCGTGATCCTTCCAAAGCCGTTGAGTGGGTGAATTCAAAGGCGGAGCTGGTCACCGGTAGCATGGAGGACTATGATAGCTTGGTTCAAGCTTTTACAGGTGTCCGTAGTGTCTATTTCGCAACGCCTTTCATAGTTGATGATGTAAGGAAGAAAAATAGGGCTGCCGTCATTCCGCTTTTTTTGTAAGTTGGACTCATTTTCTTCATCACATGGTATAGGCCGAGATACAAATGGGCAAGAACGTGGTGGATGCTGCCAAACAAGCCGGCGTATCACATTTGGTGTTTTCCTCAGTGTGCATTGTTGAAGAGTGTCGCATGGTGCCTCACTGGAACACCAAATACGAGATCGAGCAATACATGCGTGCAAGTGGTATTCCTTTCACGATTGTGCGGCCAGCGTTATTTATGGACAACTTCACATCCACGGGCATGTTTCCCAGCAAAGGGGACAAAATGTGTGGTATGCTGAGCCCCGACAGGAAACAACAGCTCATCAATGTCAATGACATCGGCTATGTGACCTCGACCATCATGTTGAATCCTGAAGCATACATTGGAAAAACCATTGAGCTTGCCAGCGACTATTTATGCGGCAATGAAATGGCTCAAATTCGTAGCAAGCTATTGAATGGCACTGATGGTACCGAAGGTACCTACACAGGTAACTATGCGTGTTCTCTTACTACGGGTTTTTTTTTGGCGGGAGTTGGAAATGGACAATGGCTTGCTGATGACCCACCTTCTTTGCATAGCCATCCATTTCACTGAACCCCATATAAAGGCCATGGTGGACTTTATGGAAACACACGATTATATAGCTGACATCCCCCAGCTCAAAAAGGAATTCCCGAAGTTGCGTACCTGGGAAGAATTCGTCAAAGAAGAACTTGTAGAGAAATAAAAACATGTTCAATTTTATTCAAGTACCCTGTGAGATAGTGTGTGGATGTGTATGAGCGAGGGAGGGAGCGAGAACTGGTATGGAGCGGTACATAAGTGTCCGTGAGACGCAATAGGAGAAAAGAAGGCAAAGCTTATTTTGGATGGCTACCTACTACGTATAAACTTATTATCATTACCATGATGGATAGCCTTTTCATGATTGGATACTGTTTACGCATGTTCCTAAAGTCAATCATCATCATTCATGCAGCGACGCGTGCGTGTAACCACCACGTGCCATTGAAATAAAGGAAACGGAACGTGCCCAGCAGCAAGGCCTGAATGTGTATACCCTGCCATATGAGTCGAGGTGTCCATGTACAAAGTCATCTATCTACTATCAAGCACCCTTTGGTGCACAACTGCTACTAGGGATGACTCGAAAGGTCTCAACAAATACACACGTAAAGAGATACAATGAGGGGAAAGATATGATATGGAACAGGGGAGGAAACAGAGATGATGTATGATAGGATTGCACAATGATGGGAAATAGAATGGGAGTATGGGTATACACTCTCTCGAATAGAAACACACACACTAGCCGGCAAGGCACACACAAAGGCACACACAAAACTTGGGAAGATCACTCTTGGTTCTTTATTTGATGTGGGGGTATTTATATGCTTAGGATAAAATTGCACTACATGGAAAGATTGTTTTACTGATATTATGCATGGTTTGTGGGATGTTGGGGTGAGGTCTCGGAAGCCGATCTTTTCATTCCGGGCTGCTTCATCACATGCGGGCTGTCATCCTTCACTACACCATTTCACTCAGTTCTCCACCTTGCTTATAGTGGCCTCGACACCATCCATTATATAGGAGAAAGCAGCTCCATCACACTTTTTCCGATACGATGATGTACATGACCCAATCTCGCGTTCCTTCCTTCAAATCTGTAGTCCCCCTTTCAATCCAGACACTAACCAAGTGATCCATGCCTCGCACATCTCATCTGTACGATCCCCAAATAATATGTTGAATCCAACTTGCATTCGATTAAATGGTTGAAGAATACGTAGCACATGATAGTGTGAATGTTTATCAAGTAAGTAGAATAAAGGAACAGCGTTGCAAATTGAATAAGATACGGGTGAATCACATAGAGTCAAGGGAAGAATTGCGTGGTGCTATTCTTGGTTGCTGCCATCATAAACATCCCTCATCCATGATTGCAAAATAGCTGCTGCATGCATTGAATCGAGTATTCCAATATCATCCCATAGCTGTAAAACGCCTTTCGTCAATCCAATCCATCCATCATCATCCTCAGCAGCATCCACGTGATATGATCCTTCGTCCATGCCACGACGTCCCAAGTAACCAAAGCAACGTTCCAGCATTTCTCATCATCACTGCACTTGATTGCATCCATCCATAACCACTGTCAGTCCAAATGTCGGTTGAAGAGAGTCATGTGTTCGCTGGCGACATGCTTCCACTTCCATCCGGCTGTTGCTCTATCTCTTTTCTTGGTCATTTTCCGTTGCAGTTCAACCGGTTGGTGGTAGCTTGTATTACAGCAGCGTACTTGATAGCCGATATGACATCCCATCCATTGGAATTATATGTATCAAATCACGTTGCTGCAAGTAACTTGAGACACTGGAGTAAAGACCTTGCTAGTAACAACTGCTGGTACGTTTGGTTGCGTAGAGGATACTGCAAAAGCGTGTGTTGTAGTAGAGTGACAAGCTGTTAAAGACAATGGAGTATAAACCTTGCTGATAGCATCTGCTGAAATGAACGCTGTTGCGATTGGTTGTCGTAGAGGATTGTACAAGAGAGTGTGTGTTGTGTCAAGAGATTCGTGTGCTGTAGAAAAGTGACAAGAAGGCTGTGTACACGCCATAGACTTCCCATTCAGCTAAAGACATCTAGATCAAGAGAGTTGTAGGATCGACATGATGGGTGTGTTGGAGCAGGACAATCGTTCGCAGGTGGTAATCGTACTTGGATGGGGCAACAGTTGAGAATGGGAAGAAGAGACAATGAGCTGGAGTGGAAGACCGAAATTAAAGTATGTTGAACTGATGTTGAATGAGATTTCTTTGTTTGGGCGTTGTTCCGTCAAATCCTCTCGGATCAAGGAAGTTGAAGGATGGAGATGATGGGCTGGAGGAGGAGAATCGTTCACATGCATTGGTTTGGGTACATAAAAAAGGCGAATAGGAGGAAGGGGCTATTGGCTGGCGGTTTACAAATAACTTTGCAAAATGATGGATGAAACTTCTGTGTTTGAGCGTTTTTCAGTCAAATCCTCTCGTATCAAGAAAGTTAAAAGGATGGAGATATTGGGCTGGAGTAGAGGAATAGTTCGTACGCATTGGATTAGGTAATAAAGGTGATTGGGGGGGGGAATGGCTGCTAGCGCGCAATGATGAGCTATTACTGAAAAGTATACATTGACCCTTCCAATCATGCATAATGAGCTGAGTTTCACAAAGAGGTCCTTCTGCATCTTTGGCTCTCCAGCGTCATACTACTTTACATTAAACAAAGACCACTACTCATATAGCATCACGCTTACAAACATAAAGGTGCCTGTATCTCCAAACTTTACAATGAAACGTGGGGTTTTGAATAGAGCAATGTGCTCGGCTTGG